CTGTCCGTGCCACAAACGTTTAGTCATGGCCCCAAAGGGTAATGTCCGGGTTTGGGCAACTGAGAAGCCAGGGGAGCCACCAAAGACCAGGACAGACCTACGGCTTCACGGCGACCAAAGGCACGGACGGACAAATGCACACGGAGAAGTTCGCGTCGAGCGCCGTGGGAAACACGGAGAAGCAGATGCAGGACTCATCGCCTACAATTCTGTTTTATTTGAGGGCAATGTTGACCCTGGATTGATAAACCCCGGTTTGTTCAACATTAGAAGAGGAAACAGAATCTGAACCTCACTCCCCCATCTTTTGGGGAAGTCTAGGCTAAATATGATACAGTTTTTTGTGTGCTCCATAGATAGGCCAAGTCTGGTTGCCAAAGGGGGTCGAAGCATGCCAAAGCAGGTCTTCCTGAAGTCTCCTATTGTCTTGAAGGTTGCCTCCTGTTTCTTCCCTTCAACCTCACTCTGCCAACGGGAAGCTCGCTAAATAAAATGCAGCCATGAGGTGATGTGATGTTCAAACGGGCCTAAAAGGGACACATCGTGGACCCTATTTGGTTTTTCCCCAACTGTGAGCCAGTCGCAGGAGGTCCAAGAGATGTACAGCAACAGCCAGCGGCTTGGCAAAGAAAAGCACCTCGCGAGCGACCGTTGTTGTTTGGAAACGCCCCTGCGCTTGTTGCACTGCTTCTCGCTCTTGCAACAAACGCAAGAGAGAATTGCGGTACACAAGTTCCGGGGAGAAATCTCGAGCCCAACCCTCCTTTGCATTCTGAAAAACTCCTTCTCTTCAGAAGATGGGCGAAACTCCTGAGACAACATGGGTGTCTCCTTAAAAACGAATGGTGGATAAAGAGAAGGGTGATCTACCAGAAATGACAAAACGTAGCTTCAAAAATCTATCGGACGAAGAAATCATGGGCATTGCCCCGAAATGCAAAGGAGAATCAACTTGAAGTAATGCTTGGTAACTCCGGGCAAAGAACCACAAGAGTCAAGGCTGTTCACAGCTCCCGTGGCCGTTCCCGAGGCTTCACTCCCCAACGCAATGCTCCTCTACAGGTTAACACGGAGCCCAAAAAAGGGCCGGCCCATGCCCACGAGGAGTTTTTTCTACAAACTGGTGGGTGGTTTGGCTTCCTTCCATTCATGTGTAGAGTAAGGGTCGACCAATTTAGACTTGACTCGGTCGACTCCGATGGTCCGAGGAGTGGGGAGGACAGGATGTCCCTGGAACGCCAGCTGGGCAGTCGAGGGCGCAAGATGGTCAAGGAGAGGACTGGCCAGGATCAGCGCACAACGAACCTCTTCAAGGTGGGGGAGTCCAGACGGTCTAGCCCTGTTCCGACTCATTTATTTGTTTGTGTGTGTATGTGTGTGCCTGTCCCAGTTGTTCCTGCCTATCATGGGGTGACTAGAAGCACTGCCCCTCTTGTTTACCTCAGAAGGAATCTGAAAGGCGCCCTCTGGTTCCTTTGCCTGGTTTGGGGAAACCAAAAGGACATCTGAAGTCGAAGACGTCTTCGACTTGCGAACAGGATTGTCTCTCTAGGATTGCGTGGCCATGATCTGTTCAGGAAGATACCAGCTTTTCTGCTTGCTCTTTCCCCGTCAATGGAGTCATGCCCTACAAAGTTTTGGGTTCCGTCAACCAGTCAGAAATCCAGGGCATGGAAGAGAAGGACACCGCGGACTTCGACCATCAATGGACCGAGGCCTTGGTTTTCGCGGGTTTCCTTCCACGTGTTTATGATCCCCACTGGTTTTAAAGGGAGCCTCTCAGTGGACATAATTTGTCCACGACAAAAGCACAAATGCTCCGGGTATGTTTCGCGTGTCTGGGAAATTTCTGGTTTTGGGAGTGCTCAGAGTGTGTGTGTGTGTGTGTGTGTGTGTGTGTGTGTGTGTGTGTGTGTGTGTGTGCGCCTCCTACTGGTCTCTGCAAAGTCGTGTGCACCCGCAGATACTTCCAACTGTGCTCTGCGATGGTCAAGTATCGCCAGCTTTGAGTTTTGAAGAGAGAAGACCATTCGTCTCCCCCGTCTTGCAAGAAAAAACAAAACATCGCCGTTTGGCCACCGCCCTCCTGGTCACCCGGCCCCCCCTGTCAACCACCCGCCCACAGAACCCGGCAGGCGGAGGTGTCTCTGCCGTGGCGGTTCCACATCCCCCAAGCCATGGACTGGCGGGCGCCGGCGCTGACGGGCGCGCCCAGGCGGTTTCCCCCGGCGGTTTTGGGCTGCGGGTTCTCCGCTTCGAGATTTGTAGGGGAAGCAGTGGAACAGGGAGGAATAAGAATACGCCGGTTTTCATGATCTGCAATTCTCGGATGGCAGATGTACCTCTCTAGTGGCAAGCAGTCCTGTTCTTCATGCTCCACTGTGCAGAAAAGCATGTGCCGCGTAGCATCATTCAGGGTGGTTTAAGCATCGCCAATTGGGCCTGGGGTGTGTGCTGTTTCAAGGTGACGCATACCCAAAAAGAGTTTTGCAACTTGTTGGACAATCTCATGGAAAGGACCCTTTGATCACCCTGGCAAGCGGCAAGCCAAAAATCACTGGAGCACCCTCAAAATAGCTGGTTGCAGAAATCTCCCCTTCAATAATAATTCACATATTATTGTCTAAAAATGGGCTTTCCAACATGTACACACATTGGCATAGTGGCAAAGATGGTCATAGGAATGATTAGTCAGCCAGCCATGGCTTTGTGCACCTCCCTCCCTCCTTCCCTCCTCCTCAACCAAAGAGGGAGAACCCCTATTTTAACACACACACACACACACACCTACACAACTGAAGGTGACTGAAATGCGGGACCCTGGAAATGTTTCCTTTCAACATCCCAAGAGGGTCCCTTAATTTTTGTTGGGGGCCCTAAACGGCTGGACTCTTGTTGGTTCTCTTCCTTGCTTTGACACACGCCGTCACGTCACCCCGTGAAGTGTCCTTCCATAGGGATTATTGACGATTTGTGGAGGGACATCAGCATTCTGTTGGGGTTCATGTCAAACCAACCACTTCTAAGGTGGTTCCGACTCTTAAAATTCATGGCCATATCTGGAGTTGCTGCCAGGCCCGCGCTTGCTGGCAAAGCCATGTGAGCGGCTAGCCGTCTAGTCGCAATGAAATGAGACCGTCGCCGTGTACAGCACATAGCCGGCGGCTGAGTCAAGCCATTTTGCCGCGGTAGGCGTCTCGACGTCTACTGCGCTAGGCGTTTTTCCCTCCGGATGCGTTTTGCCACCGCGGTTTTTGCCCGAAGAGCATCGTTTCGGCCTTGGGCCCCCCAGTTTGAGGCTTTAAGGCTCCCTCCCTGGATCCCGGCCCAGTTTTTGGTGTTGGCTCGGGTCAGTTCAGGGTTCAGAGGTGTTCTTAGAATCGGTTTGCAACCCCCAGGCTGAAGGAGGTTCGTTGACTGCTGTTCGGGTCGGGACGCCAAGGCTTGGGGGCTCTCTCTACGGAGCCAAGGCTCAGCCGAGCGATCCCTCGGGCCGCATCCGTTGGTCAAGTTATCCGGTCAACTCGGGCTTGTGCAGCTGCCCGCAGAAACCCGCAATGTCCAAAGACGATCTTGGGACAAAAAACGCCGTACAACGTGCGAGTCTTGTTGGGGAATCACTATGCGCCCCCCAAAAAGGGGGTCTTTTTGTTGGGGCACCTCGTAAATTGTGGTGTCCTTTGGGTTTCCCTCCAAAACCACAAACCTGAGTAACCTCCAAGAAAGACACTCCCAAAGAAAGCCACGCTTGTGTTCGAGTTTTTTTGTTTCCGATGAATCACTCTCTGTCGCAAGTCCAAGCTTTCCAGTGGAATAACCTGACAGCTCAAGCGCGGCTTGTTTTGTAGTTGAACTTCCGGACGCTTCTAGAAGGATGTTTCCCTTGAATCTTGGATTGCTATGTATATATATATATATATATAGGATATTTTGAATATTTATATTTCATTTAAGCTCAGGTGATATCCCCAACAGCATGCGGTGCTCTTTTTAGTGCTCGCACCACCCCGCAGCCCTCGTAGAGTGGAACCGTGATGGAACCCTGGTGGAACCCTCGTGGAACCTTACCTCAGGGCCGGACCACCCCGGAACCTATCTTGGCTGAGATAAACACTATTTGACAAACACATATAAGAGCACCGAAAGACAGATGAGTAGTATAGAATACATTCGGAACATGACATGACATATATGTATATATATATATATATACATACACAATTGTATAATGTTCAGAATATCTGAATCTTTTGGCTGCAACCATTTTGGCAAGCAGTAGTCAAGAACATTAGCTTCCTACCGATAAACATGGAAGTGCACAGACCCCTTTGAACCACGACGGTTTTTTTTGGCAAAGCCCTGTTTGGTGGGAAGGCAACCCAAGCGGTGCTGCAACCATGTGCTTTGGACATGCTTTCCCAAGGATGAAGCATTGACGGACCCGTGTGACGAGTTCCTTTTAGCAAGCTTCCAATCGCCTGCAAACGCGTTAAACGAAAATCACGTGTGTAGCATGCTAGGGCCCATTTGCCACACTCCATCTAGGGTCACCAGCATAGGAGATGCGCAAGCCAGCAAAAAGCACCGAGCGGGCGAGCTTCCTTTTTTGGTGATCTCTCAGCGAGACATCTTCTTTTCCTGGTTGACCTTTGCTTCCATTTGCTTGAGAATATTTTTTTCCGTTGTTGGTTTTGAAAGGCCTCTAATCACTACTGGACATATTTTTATTCCAGGGGTCTTAAATGGAAGTTTGGGAGTTCACAGGAGCCTGACGTGACGGTGGTGTCGGTGACGCAGCAGGCCACTGAGCGTTCCGAGCCCTGGAGAGGAACCGGGCCATGGGTTGCCGGCCGAGGCCAGTGGTGCCTTTCTCCCATCTGATAGGAATCCCAGCTGGAAATGCTGAGACCTGGCCGCGTGTTCCCAAGGTCGCCTCATCCGTCTTTGAGTGACTCTAGACACCCAACAGCCAGACCGGGCAATCTTCATAATATGTCCATTGCCTAGTCTTGTTCTCTAGAGCCCCAACTTTTTCCTTTGCATCTGATGTAGTTTCTAAGGTTCACCATTCGTTTCCAAACAATCATATTCTTGATGATCTCTCCTTCCTTGACCAGTCAAGACGATCCGCACGGCTTCCTTCGCGCGTACAAAGCCTGCTCTTGTGCCGAGGACGCGCAGTGGCTCTACCACAGGACTGCCGCGCGGCCTGACAATATTTCCATAAGCCTTTTTGATATTCAATATGTGTTGGAATTTCGTTAATTACTGACAATATTGTTTAGTGTATGGAGAGACCATTTTGGATAGACCAGTTTAGATTGCAGATAGACCTGATACTATGTGAGACGAGCTCCGACACCACAGGGGCCATCGTCAAACTGTGGCTTGGGGGTGGTGGGAAAGTTTAGCTGAAATTGCTCGTAGGCTGACTTTATGTCGGTGGCCAGGCGAAGTTCCTTCGGCGCAGCCGATTTGCTTGGAGTGCCACAGGTACTCGCCTAACATGAACTCCAAGGAGTTTTTTCGACAAGTGGTGCGTTCTTGGGTTCCATCTTCGTCTGTAGTCGGGAGACTCGTGTGCTACGTGGCTTGGAAGTCTGCTCCCATCTGACCAAGACGCTGCTTGAGCTTTGGTTCCCATTTGGGCTTGGTTCCTTTGTTTGAGTGGGTACCTTTCCTTGTGGTTTTAAAGGGACACCAAAAGGAAAATCAAAATTTTGAAGGACCCTAAGAGACTCTCCTCATTTGGTTGACTCCCGCCGCGAACCTCTAGCCGGTGGCTACAAATTCCCAGATCCTTGTTTTTTCACCAGACACAGCCCTCATAGCTGGCAACTTGCGTCACACTTTCGTTGAGATTTCAGGGGATTTGGACCCTTCTGGTTTGATAAGGTGCTGAAGAGTCATGTGAGAGCTCCTGAAACCTCCATGGGCCATTTATTTGGACGGGCCTAAGCTCTAGTGAGGCCCCTGTCAACTGACATGGAACTCACCAGAGGGTCCCGTTTAAAGGAAAATATGCTTCCATCCCTCGCTCAGGTTCCATGTGGACAGAAGGGTAAACCTTTTACAGCCTGAGTAGAACCCAAAGTCTCCGGTTGGCTTCGGGAGTGAGTCGCCGCGAGTTGGGCCAGGAACATGGTGGGCCTCATGCCGACCTGGCAGCATCTGCGCCCTTTCGGCGCTAGAACTGTGCGGGCTGCGTTTTGGTTTGGCCAGGTGGGACGAAAAGCAGGGACCCCTGGAAAGGAAACATGGGTCCACACCCACATCAACAGAACGCATTTTGTTTTTGCCGCAGCTTGAGGTTCACAAGATGTGGGAGGCATTGGTTGGGGGGGGGAAGGACTGGAGCTGCCCGCAGCTTAGCAAGAGCCCTGAGTTGGTTGGTTATTTGGTTGGGTTGGTTGGTTGGTGGGTGGGTGGCTTGGTTGGTGGGTGGGTGGGTTGGTTAGTTGGTGGGTGGGTGGGTTGGTTGGTTGGTGGGTGGGTTGGTTGGTGGGTGGGTTGGGTTTGGGTGGGTTGGTTGGGGTGGGTTGGGTTGTTAGTTGGTGGGTGGGTTGGGTTGGGTTGGTTGGTGGTGTGGGTGGCTTGGTTGGTGGGTGGGTGGGTTGGTTAGCTTGGTTGGTGGGTGGGTGGGTTGGTTAGTTGGTGGGTGGGTGGGTTGGTTATTTGGTTGGGTTGGTTGGTTGGTGGGTGGGTGGCTTGGTTGGGTGGGTGGGTTGGTTATGGTTGGGTGGGGGTGGGTTGGTTAGTTGGTGGGTGGGTTGGTTATTTGGTGGTGGGTTGGTTGGTTGGTGGGTGGGTGGCTTGGTTGGTGGTGGGGTTGGTTAGTTGGGGTGGGTGGGTTGGTTAGTTGGTGGTGGGTTGTTAGGTGGGTGGTTGGTTTTGGTTGGGTTGGTTGGCTGGTGGGTGGGTGGCTTGGTTGGTGGGTGGGTGGGTTGGTTAGTTGGTGGGTGGGTGGGGTGGTATTTGGGGTTGGTTGGTGGTGGTGGGTGGGTTGGTTGGTGGGTGGGTGGGTTGGGTTGGTGGGTGGGTGGCTTGGTTGGTGGGTGGGTGGGTTGGTTAGTTGGTGGGTGGGTGGGTTGGTTATTTGGTTGGGTTGGTTGGTTGGTGGGTGGGTGGCTTGGTTGGTGGGTGGGTGGGTTGGTTAGTTGGTGGGTGGGTGGGTTGGTTATTTGGTTGGGTTGGTTGGCTGGTGGGTGGGTGGCTTGGTTGGTGGGTGGGTGGGTTGGTTAGTTGGTGGGTGGGTGGGTTGGTTATTTGGTGTGGTTGGTTGGTTGGTTGGTGGGTGGGTGGCTTGATTGGTGGGTGGGTGGGTTGGTTAGTTGGTGGGTGGGTGGGTTGGTTGGTTGGTGGGTGGGTTGGTTGGTTGGTGGGTGGGTGGGTTGGTTGGTTGGTGGGTGGGTTGGTTGGTTGGTTGGCGGGTGGGTTGGTTGGTTGGTGGGTTTCTTGGTTGGTTGGTTGGTCGGTTGGTTGGTTGGTTGGTGGGTTGGCTGGTTGGTTGGCTGCTTGGTTGGTTGGTTGGTTGGTTGGTGGGTGGGTGGGTGGGTGGGTGGGTGGGTCGGTGGGAGGGTGGGTGGGTGGGTGGGTTGGTTTCTTGGTTGCTGGCTTGGGCTTGGCATCATGGGGCTCGGTGTCAATGAGCAGATGCTTGCTGCGCTGGTTCTGAATGTACCGCCTGGTTTGGTACGGCTGGTTTCGGGCTTCTGAGAAGAACGGTTTGGGCATCGCTCCGTTAACCTACCAAAAAAGGGCCAAGCAAGTGACAACCCATCCAGCCACTTCCTGGCCGCCGTCTTCCCAATTTCTGGATTTTCAGCACTTTTTGGGATGATCCGTTTGATTGGTAAACCAGCAGGTCGCGGCATTTTTCCCGAGACATCCACCCAGGAAGTGGCCGGCCACCGGAAAAAAAGGAAAAAAAACAAGGCAAATGGGCCTGGGCCTTGGCAAGGCCGAGGCTTTGCCCGTTTGCTTGGCTCCGCGCCCTTTTTGCTCCTCTCGCTCTGAGGTTGCAGTCGCCAGAGGTGGAGAAGTACGTGCCTTGGCCTGAACCGGAGGTCTGCTTTGGGCTCCGGTTCTTGGATTTGAGTTTGAGTGGGATGTTGGCCCGTTGGGTTTGTCCATTTTTTTGGGTCCGCTTTCCTTGCAGCTTGTTTCGTCTAGCGGGCAATACCATCCGGGGGTCTTTTGGAAGCGCCCAAGAAATGCCAGGGTCGAGCAGGATCATGGGCGCATTCTTGTTGCGGGTCATGGGGGTCTATGTGGGTGTGGGTCAAAATTAAACCATCAGACCGCAGGTTGTAGTTGAAGTTTCCATTTGCCGGGGTTCCATTTTGGGTACATATTTTTGACCCACAGCCATGTTCAAAGCGCCACCCATACCCCTGTGCGGCAGCTTGGTGCTAAGTAAGGCTTAGTTGTTTTCTCGGAGCAATGTTTCTTGGTTTGGTCAAGGCGGGTGATTCTCAAAGTGGGGTTCTTCTAGAAAGTTTGGTCTCCTTTCGGTTCCCGCCAAATACCAACCACACAGGGGTGTCCAAATCCCGCACCGAGAACCTCCCGGTAAATCATCTTTGGTTAAGGGTACCCTTTTTGGGGTGGTTGTAAAGGGACGCCGAAAGGAAAACCACAATCTCCACCTATTCTGACACATACCCAAGGTGTGGATGTCACATAGGTGTCCGTTTTAGGTTAGTTTGATTAGAAATAGATGGGTTGTATTGGCTTAGATGGGTTGTATGCGTCGTTTGCCAGGGGCCATCTCTTTTTCCAAAAGGTTACCTATGGCCACATCTCCGAACCAAAGGCAAAACCACCGCCAGTTTGGCGTGTTCCTTCTTTTGACACATGCCCAAGGTGATGTCAAAACGGCCCTTTTCTTCCCCAGAGCTAGCTCCTTTTTGTTTTTCTGCTTTTTGGGGCCCCCTTTCTTTTTCAATACCCAGCCAAACGATTCCTGGTTTACCTGGTGGTTTGATCATCTACCAGGGAAACCCATCTATTTCCTCTAAAAGGACACTTATGTTACCGTTTTTTTTCCTTTACGCGTGGCTGTGGTTGTCAAAAATGGGGTAACCCCAAAATGGAACTGGTAAATGGAACCCAGGACCTACTGTGGATGGACGAAATCCTGCACCACCTCAGAATCCCTGGAATGATACGATTCCCCAACGTAAATACCAACAAACACTGGGTTCAACCATGATTTCAAACTGGTGCGACCGGATTTCGCAGCCATCCACAGTGTGAGGACTGGCTGCTGAATTTGGAGTTCGACCACCTGCTGCGGGTCCGCCAGCTGCGTTTGTCCATAGCCACCTACCTGGCACGGCTGTCGTCGGAGGCGAAGGCGGCGGAGACGGACCCGCTGCTGCTGATGTTCGGCGCCGCGGCTTTCCTTGGCTTTTCCGGGGGGTTTGGGTGGTTGTTGTTTGTTTTTTGGGCAGTATGGTCGGTTGGTGGTTTGGAGTCTTTTTCTTGCATGTTTTTCTCTCCTGGGTTGCTCTTTTTTTTTGGGTTTTGATTTTTGGTTGTCGATTTTTTGGAGCGGGGAACCCCTTTGAAGTCTAGGAAGGAAACAAGGCGACCTGTCTTTGCGACGGCCACTGATTTGTTTTGGTACTTTGATGTTCGCACTGCCCTCAGTAGTTGCGTCACTTTTGATGGTACCATTCTGGTCGCAATCCCCTGCAACAGCCACGTTTTCGAGAAAAAAAGGCTGTTCCGGATTTGTTCCACAAACGTCTCAGAAAGCTGCAGATGTTAGCATGTAGGCACGCATGTGGCCATGCATGTAGCCATGCCTGGCACATGATAAGCACAGCCCACACACACATCCCGTTCGTGTGTGGCACACCCGCCTATGCGCATTTTGTTCGCACAAAAAGCAGGTTTTGCCTGATCAGACTACAAGCCCATGATTGCAACTGCCAACCCTCGTAGGGGCGGCGCAGCGGCCGACTTCCATGATTCTTTCGTTTTTTTGAGGTTCCTCTTAAGCAATTAGGGGAAAAGCTTTTCCTGGCCACCATGCTCTTGTCCTAGCTACGGATGTTTGGGGCCTTGGGCAAGAGAGGGAGGAGGGACAGGATGTGTCTTTCTTTGGCGGAACATCTACAAAAGCGAATGTTTCAAAATGAGGGGAATCCTAAAATGTGTGGTTTTCCTCTTGGCTTGCCCTAAAACCACGAAAAAAAGGTGCCCTAAAAGAGACGCGCACGTGCCCTTGCCATGGCCACACTGCGGGAGGCTTCCTTGTGCTTGCCGTCGGCTTCGCTGGTTTCAAGTGAGTCCTGTGATAGGAGACGTATGAACTCGCTCGTCTTCCTCTGGGAATCGGTGCCCCCCAAATGGATGTCGGTCTCCCTTTGTGCTTTCCCTCACAAACAACCAAAAAGGGGTTCCATGTCTTTTTTGTTTAAACAACAAAGCGCACATATCCATATCGAGAGCACCCTCAAACACAATTGATGGTTGCATTATCGCATCAATCCCCGTTTTCATGATGTCCGCCCAACAGTGTTCAACTTTTTTCCCGCAACAGGGACCTGTTTTGGTGTGTGTCTGTGTGTGTGTGTGTGTGTGTGTGTTTTTCTTCTTTTCTCCGGACCTTGCCCGTGTTTTGGTGAGAGCCGTCCAGGCAGATGTCTCGGGCGCTTGCGAAAGCCGCAAGCCGCGTGAGCCGCGTGCGCCGCGTGAGGCAACGCCTTCCTCTTCAACCGCGGCATGGTGAAGGACATGAAGCGGCAGTGGTCTTCCCTGGGGCGGACGGCACCGCCAGGCCTGCTGAAAGAGAGGTTGGGGGGTTGGGAGGTGGTTGGGTCGGCTTGAGGGGCCCAACTCAAAGTTGCAGCTTCAGGGTTCTCAATTCCATGCCTGGTCCACAGCTGAAGAGAAAGTCTAAACCAGGAGAGGTTCGGTAACCATCGTAAAGGTGATTTGGCCAGGATGTAAAGTCACCACGGGAGGGAACTTTGGAGGATGTCACTTTTAGTGGCCCAGGATTTTCGGAGGCTCCAAGACCTGACCAGCTGAGGTCACTCGGCCAGCGGGTGTCCGATGTTCATGGAGGGCCACTTCGAGTGGCCGCAGTCCTGCTCCCAGGACGTTGGGTGAGCCTTCCCAGTTGAAAACCCCTCCCAAAAATTGGGCAGCGAGGCTCGTCAGTTGATCCTCTTTGCCAAAGTGAAGGTGTGCAAGCCGGGCTTCAGACAAGCTTTTCGTTTCCCAAGTGGAACTGGATCTCGACACAAATCGGGCAAGGTAAAATTATGGGGTTCGAAAAGGATTCGCAAAGGCCAAGTGTTTGCGTGTGTGTGTGTGTGTGTGTGTGTGTGTGTGTGTGTGTGTGTGTGTGTGTGTGTGTGTGTGTGTGTTTTTTGCGGGTACCCATGTGGGAAATCACAAGGCACAGGGGGGGGTGTTCCCTAAAAAAGGCACACACTCTTGTGCTCTTCAAAGATGAACAATTTCTGGTGGACCTTGCTTTTTCATGGTCTTCGACTTTCAAGCGCTTTGGTTTGGGTCCCTCAAGCAAAAATGGTGGCTACATTCTGAGGGGTGGCTAGGATGGTTTCGCAAAAAGTACATTTGATGGGGGGGGGGGCGGGGTATTTCGGTGTGAAAATATTTTTTCAGGCCTTCTCATTGGATGACTTTTGGGGGTGGGGACTCCCTTCGTGTGAGCCACAAAACCCCACTGCCGATTTAGTAGATAGTTCTGTTAGAGTTTTACAGTCAGGCCTATGCAAACCTTTGTAGCTATGTTCTAAACAATCGTCCAAAAGAAGCACTCCCATTTCCCATGGTCGCCAACAAGAAGAACAACCGCGTCCACCTTGACATGGCTCGCGTGCCATCATGTTCCAACCAAACACCCTGCCAAGTCAATCTCATTTCCTATGGCCACCAACAGAAGCAAAAAGAAACAAAACCAACGCCAGGCGGTTCCCGAACACCACCACCAGCAGTTGAGGGTCAGACGAAGACTGGTATTTTTCAACTCAAGCAAGAACCAGTCTCATTTCCCCTGGTCACCCCCAAACGAAGCGAAAGAACAGCAACGAAAAGCCCAAGCGGATTCTTATGAGGATTCTTTCCTTCCCCACTTCCCATGGAGGACATCAACTAGCCGGGACACAAATCCATCTCTTAGTCCTCCCCCTTCCCCAACCTAGGGGCTACTTTCCATTTTTTTGAAATGCCACGTGGTGGTTTAAAGTGAGCTACTTTTTTTCTAGTTTGAAGTGCTATACTTTGCAGGAATTGAAAGACACTAAACGGAACCCCCCCAACCAATTCTGGGTACCTGTTCCGTGACAGGGTCTTGGTTGGGAATAAAAACCAAAAGAAACCCATCTTTGGTGTGTTTCTATTTTAAGACCAACGCAGGGGAGAAGGTCTGGGACTCGCATCAAATCAACTCGAAGCCATATTTGTATTTTTTAGATTAGTTTGATTAATAGTAGATGGGTTCCACTCGTTTAGATGCGTTTTTTGAGGTAAGTCCGTCTATTTTGCCAAAGTCCAGCCATGGCCACATGTCCAAACCAAAAGGAAGACCGAATCTTATCTTGACCACCTACGCTGCCTTAGACATGGACACTTCCAAAAAAGGGGTGGGAGCTTGAGTGGAATCGCCTGGGAGGGGTCATGGATGTTCAACGCCGCATGGCGGACACCCAGCCGTTGGTCCAAAGGCCGGCCGCATGTCCGGGTCTTTCAGGGTGTCTCTTGTTGGTGGATGCCAAGTCCCAATTGGCAAGTGAACCAACATCAACGAACTACAAAACCATTGGACATCACAGCAAATGGGAGGGTCCCCTTGTTCCCTTGAAATATTAGCAAAGCTCCAAGTGGGTTCCACTTGTTTCGAGGATTGTTTTGCCTCAAGGAAACAACCCCCCCCAAAAAAACAAGAACAACAACAACTAAAAAGGCACCAAAGCAATGGCTACTGACGTTTTAGAGGATTGTTCTGCCCCATGCAAGGAGACCAACCACATTTTTTGAGCAATGGCTACCGGATTGTTACCCCACAGTTCATTCGAGGATTGTCATGCCCCCCTTTTTTTAGAGCCATGGCTCGCGGAAATCGTCCTCGTCCTCGTCCTGGTTGCTCACCCGAACCCTAAGCGCCAACCGCTGACCCAACGTGGCTTCCGGAACTCCTTCGTCTCGTTTTGGTCCGGAGGACATCGTCTACCCCACGCTGGTGACGCTGATGTCGCCCCCGGTGGGCGCCTTCGGGGCCCCGGGCTGCGGCCAGCCGCCTGGGGATCAGCTGCCGCTGGCGTGCTTCGAGTTCCAGAGGCGCCCGGGGCAAAAACGCCCGGGGCGGAGGGGGAGGGCCCGGAGGGGGGGGGGGGTGCACGTGGTTTTCATAGGGTTTCATGGGGTTTCATGGGGTTTTATGGGGGCTTTATGATGCTTTGTGGGGTTTCACGGGGTTTTCATAGGGTTTCATGGGGTTTCATGGGGGGGGGGCTCCAAACGGATGGAGGGGGGAGGGGGTGGGCGGGGGTGGGGGGCGTTGGATGGGATGTGGGGAGAAAGTGGGGGGATAGGTCTTGAAATTGTGTGCGTGGTGTTTTTGTTTCCTTTTCTTTGGTGTGCGTGTTTTTGTTGTTGCTGTTTTTTGTTTTCGGTGTGTGTGTGTGTGTGTGTGTGTGTTTGCTTGCTTGCTTGCTTGTTTGTTTGTTTGTTTGTTTGTTTGTTTGTTTGTTTGTTTGTTTGTTTTCCGAGGGGGGGGACTTTTCTTTTGGGGCTTGGGGGTTCGGGGGGTTGTTTTGTTTGATCTGGCAGGCACACTGGGTCTATCTGGCAACCCTTCCCTCTGTTTTGGGAGCCATGGGACCACTCAGAATTATCTAGGGTCGCTGGATGTCCCTTTCAACAGCTGCAGTTAGCTGCACGCCAGGGAACCTGAGAAACTTGCCTTAGACTCTAAGCGGGTCAGGGGGCCAATTGCGGAGCTTGCTGCATCGTTATGCGAATGTGCAAAGAGGCTCTGGCTCGAGAATCGCAACCTTTTAAGTGCGAAAGTAGCAAGCCAAGCTGGTTTTCCAGCTGGGGCTTGAACATGGCAATTTTGCGTATCTGTTTGATGTATCCGTCTGACTGCCTTTCTATCTACCCTTTAAAGTACTGCGCCTGCCATGAACATCAACCCTCCTGCGCATCGTGCTCCAAAGTTCTGCGCCTGTCGCGAATTCCAATGCGCGACCCTACAAAGTACCCGCCTGCCACAATCAAGACTATGCGCTCCAAAGCGCTGCGCCTTCCACAAAACGTGCACGCGACCCTCGAAAATACGCCTGCCGTGCAACTCAACCCCTCCGGTAAGACTTGCTTCAAAGTGCTGCGCCTGCCACGAGATTTGATCAAAGCTCTCCGAGCTTGCAACGTATTCAATCATGTCAAACGCACTGCGCCTGCCACGAAATCCAACTTTGACCCGCACTCTCCAGGCAGCCCGTGCACGACACCGGGCTCGACCAGCCCCGTGGCCTACTTGTTTTGTTGGGGAGGGGGCCAACCAGATTTTTGCGCCCATAAGACCAAAGGTTAGGGTCAACCAGGCTTGGGGTTGGGAAAACAAGGTGCTCGAAAGGAGCGAGCTCAGTGAATTGGGGTACAACTTTAGGGGTGCAGCGTCATGGTGAAACGACACTGTGGTTTTCGGGACGGTCAACCCCCAAGTTGGAATTTGGACAATGGTGAGAATTCCTGCTGTGTGAGGGGGAAACCGTGGCCTCGACCTAGACGATAAACGGGCCCAACCAAAAAGGCTCGCTCTTTCCGTAAAAGGAGATTCTTAACATGTTGTGTTTGTTCCTGCTTTCGATTGTGGCCACGTTCGGCTGGCAAGAGCGGCTTTGTTTACTTGCTTGTCAGGTTTTCTTTGTCTGTTTGATTCTTCGTTCGCTTGCTTGCCTCCCTCGCAGGCTGGCTGGGCTGGGCTGGCTGCCAGGTTTGCTTGCTTGACAAATCCTTTGCGCATCGACCCGGCGTCTACTTAAAGGGGCATTGCACTTCGTAAGTGGTGATCGTCAGCCTGGGACAGCCCCCTGACCAAAGACTTTTCCCCATGAGTGGGCTCTCTCGCCAAGCTTACGATCACCAACCTCACGCCCCTCGATCGCCCCCTTGCCTCGCCCCTCGCCGAGGCTGAGCCTCGTCAAGGAGGTCGCGGCGTTGGCCCGCGGCCTCGACGCGTCGGCCGCGGAGAGCTCCAACGCCACGGCGGCGCTGTTGCGGGGCGCCAAGGCCGCAGGGACCGTGGGTGGTCCCAGCGTGGCACGCCTCGGGCCTCGGGCTCTTGGTGGGACCCATGACAGCTTGGTTTTCTTGGGAGCCCGTTTTGTCCTTGTTTCAGGGCGAGTGATATTTCAGGTTGCCCGCATAGCCACGCAAGAACGGCCCTAGTCCCCGGAAAAGGTTCAGTGCTCACCTGACTCGAGATTCTTCCGTTCGAACGTTTTCTGGGTGGTGGGATTTGGGGGCCTTGGGCTGGGTTATTCAATATCAACAATTGATCCTTACACCAGGTGGTCGTGGTTTCTTTTGTTTTGGTGGCATCCTACTACAGATTAGGGATTCGGGATCCACTCTTGTTCCCCCCCCACCACCCCCCCCCCCCCCCACCCACCCACCCACCCACCCACCCACCCCCACCCACCACCCCACCCACCCACCCACCCACCCACCCACCACCCACCCACCCACCCCCCACCCACCCACCCACCCACCCCCCACCCACCCACCCACCCACCCCCCACCCACCCACCCACCCACCCACCCACCCACCCACCCACCCACCCACCCACCCACCCACCCACCCACCCACCCACCCACCCACCCACGCACCCACAGAGAACCTGCAGGATGTGCCGCTCTTCCACCACTTCAGCCTCCTGGCATGTCCCATCGATGGAATCCAGCTGGTGGAAAGAGAGCCAGACGCTTTTTTGGGTATCCGTTTTGCTTCAAAAGCCACACAGGGGGCTAATCAAAGAGCTACTGATCGGGGTTCGGTGAGGACATTATAGTTACTGAGGTCCAATGAAAGCTTTTATTGCTTGTGAGTGCTGCTTCGGTTTGAATTTCATTCCTGCGCTCCGTTTCCAAGACCACCAGCCATCTTTGGCCATCAGTGTGTGAAACGAAGGAGACATGGAGGGACCGTGCTCCTCGAGTCGTGCCCATTGCAAAGGGTGCGCTTGGCAGAGTTGAACAAAACAGGCAGACGGCGAATGTCTGGTGAACACGTTCCAACTGGTGGACATAAAGTCAACAAGATCTAGGACCCATCTACGGATGGGTGGGTTCCTGAGGCCACAGAACATCATGTTGACTCCTGATAAATAACCCCCCAGTTTAAAACAAATCATGGTTTTTGACCGGAAAAGAAAGGACTCCCCACCCCCCCCCCCCCCGACATATGAGTGGGCGGGTTTATTATTCAGGGGTCAACGTTGCCAGAACATTCAGCTCGCGTCGCTCCGTCGACCGAGTCGGAATGGAGCCAACCAACCTGGGAGTTGCTTCCCTCAGCAACGGCCTGGAATGACCCGCTTTCAGAGATGTGAGCTGACTGTCAATGAACAAATCTATGGGTCTGACGAACTCATATGGGTGCTTCTCCAAATTGGGGAGCCGAAAAAATGGGTGCTTTCCATTTTGGTTCCTTCAAACACCAGCCAGCAGGGGGCACCATATTTTCTGAGAAACCGCAATATGCACACAGCGCGTGAATTGCAGAAACATGGCCTGCTTGCCATCAGCTCTTCCGAGCAAAGCCACCGGTTAGCTCGGAATGTTTCCCCTGAACCCATGCAAAGTGCCTTACATGGATACTTGGACTTTCCAGTACCCTGTAAAGGAGGGGGGTAGTTGTAGCTCAGGATTCTGAGATACAATGCCGCCTTTGTTGAACATGGAGACTTCAGGTAGTTCGGGTCTGATTGCTATGAGTCCTGTTTGTTGTTGGTGTTGGTCGATCTTATTGAATCTTCTGTGGGGCTGGGACGTTGGCCTTGACCTCACCTCTTTCCTCGACCTGACATGGCACTTAACTTCTTTCTGTTGACGACCATTCTCCTCTTGGGCCATTTCTCTCGGGTTTTTCATGGCCACGGGAGTGTGGGTCCTAGTTTGGCCCCCCCCCCCCACTGCACCCCCCCGCCCCAAAGCCATTGCACCAAGATCAGTTTCGCCAGCTCAACATGCTCTCCCCGTTTATGCCGTTTGCGCGAAATCCGCGCAGCCAGGTTTTGGTGGCTTCGGCTTTCGCTTTCCTTTGGTGTTCGTGAGTTAGACTGAGCACCCGTCCACCCCCTTCCACCCCCTTCCCACCCCACCCCCCCCCCACCCCAACCCCCCCCCCCCCCCTGGTGGCTCCGGACTCCGCGCTCCTTCCCTCGGACAGTTTGAGTCAAATTGAGGCGACCCCGCGGCGCGGCGCGCCGCCGTGGAGCTGCTGGGCGCCTGAGGGAAAATCGAAACCGAGCGCGGCTCCGCCTCCGAGCGAGCGCCCGAGTGCCCTCCCCCCGCGGGACGCCTCCATGAGCCCACCATGAGCCCACCATGAGCCCTCTAGGGGGACTTGTTGAGTGGGGGAAAAAAGAAGCACTAGGTTACACACCAGGTTATAGCCTACCAAGTTGCTGACTTGGCGAGTCGAACAGGCGAATCGAGCTGGAATAGCTTATTGGTTTGCTTTGGTCCGTAGTCGTTTGGTTCCAAAAGGTGATGACCTGTAAGTTTTGGGTCCCCTTAATGGGTGAGTACTGGTTTTCGCTCCCCAATTTCGCCTGAAGGGGACACCGCAAAGGAAAGCATCAGTCCCTGAGTTCCCTTTCGGACTTTAGTCACTTTTGGTCGTTGAACCACTTCAGTTTTGATCGGAAGTGAGAAGCAATCATCTTGTGCTGCAACTCCAAAATGCCCATACAGTCGATGGTTTTGGTACCCTTCTAAGGTGGCCTTTTTTGGTAACTGATTTGTGTGGAAGACATCATTAGTATGAATTCAGCTTCCTCTATTCCACCAGGAGTGAATTGGTTTCTCTACTCTACCGAAAGGCTATCAAGCCCGGCTTGGTCACCTGTTCATTTCCACCTACCTTCCGGGCCCCGGCCGTTTTTTCCAGGTGGCCGAGACGCATGCCCGCCGTGCGGGGGCTCCGGAAGCCGCGGGGGCTCCGGAAGCCGCGGAGGCCTTGGCGCGCAGGCGGCGGGCTTTTTCGGGCCGGGATGCGGGCCAGCTCACAAACGGGAATTGGGTGGTGGGATTGTTCAGAGACAGCATTTCGTCATGGTGAAGGCGCAGATGATGATTTTGGCCCCTTTGAATTAGCATGGTCAAAGTGGTCAAAGCTATTTTTTTCTTCTTGCTTCCTTCCCTTGAAGGACGCCACAAGGGATTGGTTAGAGGGGGTCATTTCAGTTCTCATTCCCACAGCATGAGGCCACTCGAATTGCTCGAATTCCCATTGGATGGGCACAGCTGGGATTTGACAAATCCGGAAAACGAGACTCGTTGGCGACGGGCGCCTTCCTGGGGGTAGGAATGCGGCATCCAGAAAAATGTGGTGGGTGTTTCGTTTCCCTTTCAAAGGCCAACAAAACAGGCACCCTCGAAGAAGACGCTGTCATGTGTTTTGTAAACAATTTTCCTGACTGACGTGGAACGATGCTTGTCCTGAAGCAGCCGGGTACCTTTTGCCCTCTGACACGAATTGAGATCTGGGTGTGGCTCAAAATTTAAGAGCTGGGGTTACGCAGGTGTTGGTCTTTGTTTCCATCCAAGGGGCCCAAAAATGGGTTCCACTTTTTTAGCCACAGCCATCTGACGCCTAGAGCAACGATAACATGTGGAAATGATTTCCTTAGGGAACCTCAAAAGTGATCGGTGGACATGAGCCTCCTTTCAGGGTCCCCCAGAAGTCACACCCATGTTCAGACCGAGTTGTCAAACACATACCCATTTTTGACAGTTTCAAAATTGGCGAACCGCTCAATACTGGGTGTTCCTTTCGGTTTCCCTTTAAAACCAGGCACAAACGGCCGGGTTCTTGACAAGAGAACGTGCCTGACAGCGGGCGGAGCGGTTTCTTCGGCAGGCCCAGCGCGAGAAACGACGGCCTTTGGTGCCGCAAGGCGACGGCTTTTGGAATCCAAGACGTCTGCTTTTCCTTTGCTAGGTTTTCCAGCTAGGTGCCCTTCGCTACCGTTTCTTTTTTGGTTGGGAGGGTTCCCCTACTAAAATAAACAAAACAGAAAAAAAGGGTACCCGTATTCCAACCTCTCTACTGCAGGACCTAGTTTGGGATGGTTGTGCAGAAGTTTTCATTTGTTTTTTTGCATTGGGCCATAGCATTGGCTTGGCTTGTTGGTTTGCTTGGTTTGGTTTGGCTGGGTTAACTTGGTTGGCTGACTGGTCGGTTGGTTGGTTGGTTCTCGTGGGTTGCTTGCTTGCCTTGCCTTGCCTTGACTTGCCTTGCCTTGCCTTGCCTTGCCAAGCCTTGCCAAGCCTTGCTTGTTCCGGTGCCCCAGAACAAGCTGGCATGAATTCTTTCTTGTGCAGGGCTGCTTTGTTTGAGATTAAATTGCTTGGCGCTGGGGACGGCAGGGTTGCCCGCTGCCCTACGTTGCCATGGCACCTGACATTCGGGGGTGCCATGTTAGTGGGAGGATAAATTTCAGGCTGGGCTCCTTGATTGCTATTGGGTAACGGATCTTTAGACTTTAACTTGTTGGTTGAAATCATTTGGGTGTTTCCATGAAGCCCACACAAAGTTTAACACTTTTTGCAGGGGGGTCGTTGCAACCAAGAAGTTCAGGCGTTCCTTGGGGCTGTCTGGCTTCGGGTCAGCTGATGCTGGGCCGCGGGTTGATATGGGGTTGTGTCGAGGCGAGTTGATTGAATTTGGGTCGGCTCAGGGACGGCCATGCAGAAAGCCACGGCTAAGAAGAAAGCAGCACGACAGG